ACACACACACACACACACACACACACACACACACACACACACACACACACACACACACACACACACACACACACACACACACACTACGTCATGTCTGCTCTGCTCAGACTCAGTTGATGACTCAACATGTTGTATGACTCTGACGTGTGGGTTCACGCCTCTGACTCGTCACGTGATATTTTCCAGCTGTTGATCGTGAGCTCGTCTCTTTCAGCTGATGGAGAACGCAGCCTACACGTTCGAGCAGCTGCTGCACAAGGCCGTGCAGGACAACCCCGACAACGCCGGCTCCGCCCTGGAAAAGGCCAAACACAGAGTGCTGAAGGTCCGTTTGTCTTTCACAACACGACGACACAAAACCCAAAGAATCTGAATCTGAACAGTTTAAATTAAAGGAATTATTCGTTTTTAATTCGTTTTACCGGCAAATTAGAAATGTGAGATTTAAAACTGACCCACATGGAGTTTTGTAGACATTATTTTATATTCACAGTTTGTATTTTGGGACAAAACATTAAATACCAGAATGATTTTTACTGAACTCACACACCACAATAAATTCATATCGACCTTTGACCTCTCGTCTCCTGCAGCAATACGACTACGACAGCAGCTCAGTGAGGAAGAGGATCTTCCAGGAGGCGCTCGTCTCCATCACGCTGCCCTTCATCAAGAAGAACCTGGCCCCCACCTGCAAGACTGTGAGTCCAACACACGCACATTAGAACCACACGTATGATGTAAACATGACGACACACACATTCCGTTGCTATAAATACCACACCATTGATTTTTATGGATCAGTTGTAGCGTCAGATAAAAACCTTCACTTTGTAAAACACGAGTTATTAAAAGTGTCACGTCTGAGGAGGACGGTGTGAAAACAACACGGCGACAGTCACGTGTCACGTGTTCGAGCCCTGAAGCGTCTCGGTGAGAATCTTTTGGACGATTACTTTTAGGTTTCCTCCCAGAACTTTTCCAACTCAGGCTCGTCTCGGAGAGAGCCGACCTGAGCCCAAGAGAGAACTGACCTGAGCCCGATGAAGTGAATGTAGCTGTGCTGAGTTTGTCTTACTCTGTCCCTCACTCCCTTGTGTCTGGACATTATGGACATGTGCAAAAGTTAAATCAGCCCAAATGAAAGTTTGAGTTCAGGTTAGACACTGAACCAACCCTGGTGTTGTCATGGTTTCCGCACCGCTGCGTCTCATGTGGTGAAGTTTCAGAAAGAGTTCCACATCTGGACGTGTGCGTTTGTCTCTGCAGGAGCTTCAGGGTCTGGAACAGTTCATCGACGCCGACCACTCCAACTTCATCCATGTCGAGAACGTTTATGAGAGCATCCTCCTCCAAATGCTGGACAAGGAGGTCACCAAAGGTACAGAGGGACACACTAGTGACGGCCGCAGGTCGCTGAAGACGTGGAGACGAGACACCTCTAATCCTTCCTGTTTTCTTTTTGTCCTGCAGTGGTGAAGGAGGCGGCCAGCCTGAAGAAATACAACCTGTTCACAGAGAGCAGGGACCTGGTCAGCTGCTCCAGCCTCTCCTCCCCGTCCGTCTCCACGCCGGGCAGCCCCGCCATGTCGCTGGCCTCCCCTGCTAAAACCAACTACGAGCCCCAGCCGCCCTCTCCTCTGGCCAATGGTCTGTCTTCCATCCCCCGGAAGGACGAGAGGAAGGAGGTAGAGAAAGACGCGCCGCAGAGTGCAGGCTTAACGGACGTGACGGTGATCGAGACGCCTCTGGGCGAAGTGGAACAAATAGAAGTGGCTCAGAGTGTCGCCGTCAGCGAGGAGAGTGAGACACCTGCACCCAGAGCAGAGGAGGTCGTCCAGACTGTGAAGGCAGAAGCAGACGTCCCCGTCCAACCTGAGACGACAGTTTTAAAAGACACAACCGCTCAGAATGAGACACAAGACGTCAGTGTGGCAGCAGCTCCAGAGACTGTGATCCAAGAGGACGTGATTTCTGTCCAGACAGAGAAAGTGGAGACGAGCACAGATGTTGGAGAAGAAGCAGGAGCAGCTGCAGAAAGTTTAGAGACAGATGTTGAAGAAGAAGCTGCACAAACAGAAGCTGCACAATCAGAAGCTGCTTCAGGGGGAGGTGGTTCTCCGCTCGCAGCCGTCAGGGAGGGAGACGCACAGAGCCAGAGCTCAGGAGTCTCGTTAGAGGCTCCCCCTGGTGGTGAGGCAGCTGCAGACATACCTGGAGAGTTCAGCCTGGGCGTGATGGGAGACGAAGCAGAACCAATCACTGTCTCAGGCCTCAACTCTCTGGATGTGTCAGTCGGCAGCGAGTCACCGCCCTCAGACTTGGGGTCCGAGGGCAGTGAAGACGTCAAAGCCGCGCAGAGCAGCGGGGACGAAGTCTCCACAACCTCCGATGTCCTGGAGGACGACCTCAGTAGATCACCTGTGAGCTCAGACGACGCCCCTGAGGCCAAGAGCACCGAGCCTCCTCAGACCCAGACGGAGGCAGTGAGCCGTGATGTCAGTGTGAGCGAGGACGTCGGAGCAGGAGCGAGCGCAGAGGCTGAAGCAACAGATGCTCCAACCTCTGAACCTGTCCCAGAGGAGGCTCCTGTCCCGGAGAAGGCTCCTGTCCCAGAGGAGGCCCCTGTCCAGGAGAAGGTTCCTGTCCCAGAGGAGGCCCCTGTCCCGGAGAAGGCTCCTGTCCCAGAGGAGGCCCCTGTCC